TGTGTGTGTGTGTGTATTCCTTCTGTGGCCCTCACACACACCTGCACACAGCTGACAGTCAAGGCTGACTGCAGCTCAGCTTCCTGCACCCATCAACTCCCAGAGCCTCTACTCTAGCTTTGCTGTTTGTTTTTCTACTCACCCGTCTTTCCTCTTTCCATATTCATGAGCTTTTCTCCCTCACTATTGGCAACAGAAATGACAGGAGCTATGATTCACGACAGTGTAAAATCATATTTGGAAGTAAATTCATGAAATGTTGAAAAGATATTACTGTTTGTAGTAACATCAGAGAGAGGTCTGTCTATGGGCCATGTAACTGTAGAGGTAACGCTTGCATTATCAGTATCTCCACTGGTTCAGCCCTACCTCAATCCTCTCGCCTGGAGTAAAGATGCAGTAACCCGTAGGCTGCAGCCATCTGCCAGCATTAGAGAAAACAACGCACAGCAAGGAGGGACTGAGGAAAGCAGAAATGGCAGGAGACTGGGTGGTCGATGGCAGGGAACTCATGTGCTGTTGACTGCCCGACTCCTTCCTAGTTTGGGTCAGGGTAGTAGGACTTTCCCTTACTTGCAGCTGAACACCATGTTGCCAAAAGGCCTCTTACAATGTGTAATATCTACAGCCAGGAAACTTGGTAAGAATCTAACTGAAATTGTTGGATGGACAGATCTAATTTAATAAGTACATATATGCCAGATAGATAGATAGACAGATAGATAGATAGATAGATAGATAGATAGATAGATAGATAGACAGACAGACAGACAGACAGACAGACAGATAGATAGATAGATAGGGATGGAGTCTCGCTCTGTTGCCCAGGCTGGAGTGCAGTTGTGCAATCTCAGCTAACTGTAACCTCTGCCTCCCAAGCTCGAGCGATTCTTGTGCCTCAGCCTCCCCAGTAGCTGGGATTACAGGTAACTGCCACCATGCCTGGCTAATTTTTGTATCTGTAGTAGAGACGGAGTTTCACCATGTTGGCCAGGCTGGTTTCAAACTCCTAACCTCAGGTGATTTGCCCATCTCAGCCTCCCAAAGTGCTGGGATTACAAGCGTGAGCCACTGCACCCGGCCACCAAATACTTTTTTATGTACTTTACAAATATTAATCATTTAATCCTCCTAACAGCCCTACCAGGTAGATAACATTATTGTCCCTGCCACTAAATTAGTGGCAGAATGTAAAGAATGGAAAAAGCAATAATTCAAAAAAAAACAAAGTAAAAGGAAGGTGGAAAAAATAATTGGTGTTACTGTTCATTAGACCCTGTCTTCTCTATCTTTTGGGTCTAATGACTTCCAATTTGCTATTTATCACAGGTTTTGACAAGCAATTCCCTGTTCTAGAGAATCTAGTGTTTTACCCTTTTTCTTTCCTCTAATTTGAACTCCTTGGTCACCAAAGTAACCAGCGGTGTACATATTTCTACAGCCTATGCATGTGGAGACATATATACATATTATACAGGGTTTTTGCCCCTTCTTTCCTTTTTTCACTTCTTCCTTTCTACTTTCCTTTATCTTCATTTTTTTTACAAAAATATATCTTATCACACATTCTAAAAATGAATTTTCACTTAAAAATATATTCTAAATATATTTCAGGATATACATCTAAACAATTATTTGCAATACCTATAATATAGCTGAAAATATTGCTGTAATATAATTTAACTATCCACCTATGATTCATCACTTCATTTCTAATATTGTTTTTTAAGGCAATCCTAGGCATTTTTCTGCATCTAGCAATGGTAAACTAGGTGTTTCAGGCCAGACGTCAACCAGAACAACCAAGGCACTGGAGACCTGCCAAGGCAGTAAAGACTAGAGGGGGTCTAGATCCCAGGAAGACAATTAACCCTATTTTTGATCCCTTTTCTACTCAAGAATTCTTCAGTTTGAATCTGCAGCTAGGGCACTAACAAGATGAGGAGAATGTGTGTTCAGCAATGTCAGAGTTATTACAGAGAGAAAAAAAAACTGATGCATACGTATGCACTTAGCAAACAGCAAAGCACAATTGAAGTAAGTTATACACATATACATGTGCACCTCATCATTGTTACTGCCTCTAAAAACTAAGCAACACCACTTCCTCTGGGGAAAAAACAGTTTATTAAAAGCATAAATGTAAACTGCAGTAGAAAAAATCTTTAGCAAAATATATTTTAGATACTTTAAAAACAGGAGCTACGAAGTATCACGGACATATTTCAAGTCTGATGCTAGGGAGCCGAGTTCTAACCTTCGCAGTAACAGTAATTAATTCTAGGATTTTGAGTCAGTCATTTCAATGTTCTTTGCCTCAATTTCTTTTCCTCTAAAGTAAGAATGTTAGATTAAATATTCTCTAAGGGTCCTTCTTTCCCTTGACTTTCATTATGTTATCTCTGAGCACAGGCCTTCCCTTTTCAGTAGAAATGCCTGCAATCAACAGATTGACTGGAAAAAGACAACAGCAAATAATAATTTGCATCTGATGAAACTGTGCCTATAACTGACCAAACTGAAGACTCTAAAAAAACACTGGACTCTACTTCGCTGACCTTAAAGGATGCGTGGCTCTTTTCATGCCTTCTCTCTCTCTCTGGTTTTGAGTTAAACATTTTGCTGCACAGTTGATTCAGCCAGTGTTAACACTCTGCTCTCAGGCTGCCCTGCACCTATCCCTTTACAGATACCACTGGGTCCAGCAGAAGAGATGAGCATTTTTTAAATGTCTTCTGTAGCTTCCCAGTGATTCTGGACACTTTGCCCTAAACATTTATCCATTTTTGCAATCTATGCCACCATCTTGTTCCTGATACAGGAGTTAAGGAGAAATTATTCAGGCAGATAGTGAGGGTACAGGAGTCCTTGGTAAGGTTTAGCTTTTAGTGAAAAGCAGTCCCCAAATCGTTTTCTTTTCTAACAAAGAGCAGCCTGCAAAATCGAGCTGCAGACATAGACAAGCAAGTTGGAAGCATCCATGGGTGAATGCCAGCAGTTGTGCCAATAGGGAAAGGCCACCTGGGACTAGGCATGTTCAAAATGGCGGCTTCATGTTCCCGTCTCCTTGCCAGCCACGTGTACAGTAAGAAGCAGGCGACATGGCACCTGCCAAGTGGAAAGCCCATTTGCCTAAGATTAGGGTGAGGTGGCCAGCCTTCCTGGCATGCTATGTAAATGTCACACCAGGCCCTATGCAAATCAGATACCACCTCCTCAAGCCTGCCTATAAAATCTGGTGCACTCTGGTGCAGGCCAAATTTCTCATTCAGGCTCTCTCTCTGTCCCGCTCTCTCTCTCTACTCTCTCTCTCTCTCCCCCTACCTCTCCCTCTCTCTCTCTCTGAAAGAGCTGTTCTCCTTTCTCTTTCTTTTGCCTATTAAACCTCTGCTCCTAAACTCACTCCTTGTGTGTATATGTCCGTGTCCTTAATTTTCTTGGTGCAAGACAACGAATCTCAGGTATTTACCCCAGACAATGACTTTGCTTCAGTACCACTTACTTGGTCACTCTTTCTCCTAGTAGTTACAGGTTTTTCCTTAATATATTCTGCAATTAATGCCCAGTCACTACATTCATGTTATGATACTCTTAACACCCTCATCTCATAATTATTTTTGTTTTTATTATAACAATCTCCATTTCTATCTTACTTCTGCTACCCAATGATCTAGCAGTGCCCAAGTACTCATTGTGACTCAAATTTTTGTCCTCCACTATCTAAACCCTACAAATTTTTGTCCTCCACTATCTAAACTCTACCAATTTTTCTCTGTGACTTAAAATTACTCTCTCTAATCATGGCTGTTTCTCTGTCTCTATTCATTCAATTCCAACAAACCTGTCCCTGAGTGGGTCTTTATCATGCAAAAGTTGCAGAACTATTTGGTATGGACAGTGGTATTTTTTGAGTGAATTTTAACATTCATCCATCCATTCATTCAACAAACAATACTAAACACCTATAGGTGCCAGATGGTATGGTAGATCCGGACAGAACAAAGATGAATGAAACCATGCCCCTATCTTCAAGAAGTTCATTACTAACGAAGGAAACTGAGAGGAAAAATAAGTAGCATAAGAGGGCATTAGTGATAGAGAAGGGCAAATAATGAAATACTGTGCAAACAGATGGAAAAGCAGTAGATTCATCCGGGTGCCACTGAGGCCATCTATGGCACTAGAGAGTTCAAACAATTATGTTTGAACTAGAGAGCTCTAACAAGTTCAAATCACTGATTTAATACTGATAAGTCCAAAATCACTGATAAATCATCACAGTCATTGATAAGTCCACAATACTGAAATAAAACTAGCATCTTGTTAGAGACGTGTGTATCGAGTTGACTGCCTATAAATATTTTACTATTATATAGACCATTTGTGAGTATTTACTAAATTTCCTTTAAATAAAATATTATGCTCTAGGATTTGGAAAACACATTTTCTCCCCAATCTATCCAAATAATCTTTCGAATACAAGGAAAACAATGAGAACTCCAAACTGACCTTCTTATTTATAGAATAGACTATCAGTAATCAATCTGAAAAAGAATGCGAATTATGCCTCTTTAGTGTTTTTCAGGACTTATAAATAGGCTTTTTAAAATATAAATGGACATGATATTGTTAGATGACTATTCAGAAATGACTAATGAAAATACTAATGATTTTTTGATAAATAAAAATACTTAACATAATTTAAAAGGAAAACACTTACATCACACCAAACATCAGAGTTTTTTGTTTTTGTTTTTTAGAGATGGGGTCTCAGTATGTTGTCCATGTTGGAGTGCAGCGACCACAGTGCACTACAGCCTCAAACTCCTGGCCTCAAGTGATCCTCCTACCTCAGCCTCCTGAGTATCTGGGACTCGGTACACACCACCACATCCCACTCAAAGTGTTTTTTTTTTGGTTTTTTTTTTTGTCTTAAAGGACATGAAGAAAAGAAAAATAGGAGTGATCTATCACAACAAGGAGAAAACTAGAAAACATACCCGAAGAAGCTTCCAGTCTTTCCAATCTGCTGATCAACCAGTCAAGGGAGCCGGAAAACTGAGCACAGTTTTTACGATTTCCTCTAATTAGAGCCGCTGCAAAAGAAGAAATAGATTTCACCTTTATGTCATTTTCTAGCTCGAAAATTGAGATAAGCTAATAGCAGCCCTAAAATATTGGATCAAGAACAAAGTATCTTCACGTTACATCTAAAACTTATGCAAACATATATACACATACATATACAACACGGAGACATTAAAGACAAATTAATCATTATTAATTGAGACTGAAGAAAACCACTGCTCATTAGAAGGAATGTGATTTTGGAAAGTAAATTTCACATGGGGAGGTAATAATGAAGGGTAATGGAAAAACCAGTCTCCTGGGAGTTCCCTCACTTGGGTTCTAATACCCATTGCTTTTAATTAGCCATGAAATTAAATTATTCTGTCTCTCTCAAGCCCAATTTGCTTACCTATATAATAAAAAGAGCAAATCAGTTTTTCTGAAAATGAACCACAAAATACTAGGAGATATAACTAGTAGTTGTAACTCTAACAGGTATACAGAGAGCTATAACTAAATGTTACGTTAAATAATGGATGAGAAGACCAATAGCCACTAACTTTGAAACCCTTTTATTTTCTTATATCATTTCCTTGGATTTAGAGATTCACAATGCATATTAAAGACTTGAAATTCTGCAGTAAAGAAACCGATTCTAGCTTGGCTCAGACTACTGTTTTCTACCCTTCTTTGATTGAAGAACCCATTTTAAATAAAATTCCTATGTGATGTTTCTGATCTCCTTCAGCCTAGTTTATACATTCAATTTTAAACTTTTAATTTTTCAAAATCATTAAATTCATAGCAAGCCTGGTAAATATTTTCTACTCTTATACCCCTATGTTTATTCAGAAACAGTACAATTGCTTACGAAGGGATGGCAAGACTTTTAGACAATACGATATTTAAAGAGAGAAACATGTCTCTATAAGAATAATTGCTATTGAAACTCTGATAGGCCAGGCGCGGTGGCTCACACCAGTAATCCGAGCACTTTGGGAGGCTGAGGCAGGCGGATCTTGAGGTCAGGAACTTGAGACCAGCCTGACCAACATAGTGAAACCTCATCTCTACTAAAAATGCAAAAAATTAGCCAGGCATGGTGGTGGGCACCTGTAATCCCAGCTACTCAGGAGGCTGAGGCAGGAGAATCGCTTGAACCCAGGAAGTGGATGTTGCAGTGAGCCAAGATCAAGCCATTGCACTCCAGCCTGGGTGACAGTGCGAGACTCTGTCTCAAAAAAAAAAAGAGAGAGAGAGAGAAAATCTGGTAGCTGATGCAAGCAGTTTGAAGAAGTGAAGTTTGAGGCTACTGCCTGTTAACCTTCTTGTTAAGAGTAGGAGGGAAGAGACTCTACAGTTACAGTGTACAATTAAAGATGTCCTTCACGTTCCCTCTTTCCAAAAATAAAGAGATAAAGTTATTATCTGACTGAGAGTAAGAAAAGAAACACACAGAAAAGACGCCAACTCATGAGAAGAGCTTTTTTGTGTATAGAGCCTCCGTGACATTTGTACAGAGATTCAGAGCTAATACACTAATTACTCAGGCTCTGCTCTGGCTCTGGGTCCGGCAGCCTCCCCTAAGAGCCAGCCAGTGAGCTATACTCACAGACTGCAGAGTACAGCGGACAAAAGATAGTGGTGGAAGATAGCAGAGGAACGAGAAGTACTGTGTGTTAAGCAGAACTTCTAATTTTATTCTGTAAGAATATCTGTTCCCAATTTAGAACAATAGCAATTGGGAAAAAGGACATGATAAAGTTTTTGAATTTTAAGAGTCCCTTTTGTTTAAAACTTAACTCATGCTTTTCATTTTATTTCTGATTTTGTAAAACTAATTATATATATAATATATATGTAATTATATATAGCTATATAAAATTATATATAAGCTATCTATTGTATTATCTAAAATTATATAGGTATATATAAAACATATATTATATTATCTATCTAAAATGATATATATATAACATAAGTGCTTCTTGAAAGAAGCTAATAGTATAAGAATGAACTCTTTTAATAAGCCATGGGGCATTTAAGAAAATTATAGAGTGAGCCACAAAGAAAATTTCATTAAATTTACTGCAAACAGACATGGTATAAACCAAGTTCTCTGACAGAACTATGTCAGAATTTAGTAAGAAAAGCAGGAACGAAAATAAAACCGAAATATATAAAAATCTAAACTCTCTCCTTAATAACTCTTGGGTCAATGATGGAATCAATACCATAATATAAAATATCTAATAAATATCAAACACAACCAACAACCAATCGTAAATATCTAATAAATGGTAAAATATCTAATAAATACCTAACACAACCAATGGTAAATGGCCAAAAGTGTACTCAAGGCAAAATTAAACACTTTAATTGCTAAGCAGTTGGGTGAAAAATGGTAAGTAAATCTTTTGAAATAGAGAAAAAGAACATCAAATAAACAGTAAAATAGAAAAAATATATGAATAGCAATAAAAGTAGAAATTAATACATTAGAAATAGAAATAGTTTATATAATAGTAAGATTGATCAAGAATACATTCAAGGACTATTTTTTAAATATAAGCTGACTACCAACTACTACTTTAATCAAAAAGAAAAGGAAAAAAGGACAAAATTAAGAAAAGGGCATTACACCAGACGTGGTGGCTCATGCCTGTAATCCCAGCACTTTGGGAGCCAAGGTGGGAGGATCACTTGAGCCCAGGAGTTTATGACCAGCCTGGGCAACATAGCATGATCCAGTCTGCACAAAAATTTTAAAAAATTTTTCCAGGCATGGTGGTACATGCCTGTGGTCCCAGCTACTTGGGAGGCTGAGGAGGGAGGATTGTGTGAGCCTGGAAGGTCAAGGCTGCCATAAGCCATGATATCACCACTGCACTCCACCCTGGGTGACGGAGTGAGATCCTATCTCAAAAAACAAAAAAAGGAACTATAAGCACAACCACATATAGATACATAGATATACAGATAGGTATTTTTTTCACTAAAACTGACCCAATAGAAGGGAGAATACCTAAACAGAATAATAAATCATGAGTAATATTGAAAAGCATATCAAAGACCAAAAGCTTTTTCGCACATATTCAATAAATAAGTAATTTCTATACTACTTCATATGCTGCATAAGGATGATTTGGTCAACAATGAAACAGATAAAATGATCGTGCCTTAACACCATAAGACTGTATTTTTACTATACCTTTTCTATGCTTAGATACAAATACTACTGTGCTACAACTGCTTATTCAGTATGGTAATATGCTGTACACATTGCTGTACATATGTACAGCCATAGGTTATGTAGCCCAGGAGCAGTAGGCTATCCCATAGAGCATAACCGCGCAGTAGGCCATCCTGTTTAGCGTAGCCGCGCAATAGGCTGCCCCGTCTAGCGTAGCCATACAGGTTACCCCGTATAGCGTAGCCGGGCAGTAGGCTATCCCGTACAGCGTAGCCACGCATTAGGCTATCCCACACAGCGTAGCCGCGCCGTAGGCTATCCCATATAGCGTAGCTCTGCAGTAGGCGGTAACACGGAGGTTTGTGTAAGTTCCATGATGTTTGCAAGATGTTTTCCTTAGAACTATTCCAATGAGTAAGTGACACATGACCGTATTCCAAAGCCAAAAAACTAAGGAAACTTCTCTGATGATTTCACAAAGACAGTATCAGTGACATTGATATCAAAGCACATATTACAAAACAAGAACTCTTACTTATAAATATAAATTCAAAAATATTATATACATTTATATATTAATGAAATTAAATCAAATTTAGCAATATAAATTTAGTATTTATAATTCAAATTTAGCAATACATTAGCAACATTTCATCCAAGTGGAGATTCATTCCTCCAAAGACATAGAGATATATCAGGAAACCTGTTAATGAGTCAAAGATGAAACAATCTCAATATACTATGAAAATGTATACATTTCTAATGAAAAAAAATTAACTCAGTAAAATAGTGTCTCCTGAACATTGTGCATGCATGCATGTGCATGTGTGCATGTGTGCGTGTGTGTGTATGTATGTGCATGTCATGGGTACCAATGTATTTTACAGATAAATGGAGTCTGTGAATTATTATAATTCATCCAGTCAATTAAGAAGAAATAAGTTACGTGAGTTTCTAAGTAATGGAAAAGTATGCAGAGAAATACAAGGAAGCTCATCACAACACTCTTTATAATAGCAAAATACTGGAATGGCCTAAGTGTGCCGAAATAAATAAATGGTGACATTCCTTCAGCACAGAAGTGTACATCTGCTAAAGCTTGATGAAGGTTTATAGTTACTGCCAAGGATAGAGGCTCACAATATAGAATTAATTGAAAACATCTGCTATAAAAGAACATTAATAGCATGATTCCATTTTTGTAAAGTAAATGTATCCACTGAATATAATTACATGTATAGCATGGAGAAAACTGTTTTTCAGAATATTTCTTAGAGAATGAGAGCTGATATTTTGGGGAAAAATATCTTGATAAGGGACTGACAAAGAAACAGAGATCTTGAGGAAGACTGAGGTTAGTGCGACTGCTTCCCCAGGTCAAAAAGGTACATTTTCATATTCCAAAATAAGGTGGAATAAGAATGGACCCAAGAGAGGAAAAAAAAAGGGCCATGTCCTGTAATATGATCTCTCACAGTGACCCTTTGAACCTGCAATAAATTCTGTCAAAAAAAATCACAAATGCTCAATAAGAATGGAAGTTAGGAGGTGAAGAGGTGATGTTCTGTGGCTACAATTTCACTCTTGGAGAAAAAATAGACAACAATAAAAAAGCATGGAAGTCTGAAAAATTGTAACCAAATAAACCCCTAAAACATACCAACATCAAAGGAAAGCCTTTTGACTATCTTAGTCCGTGCACCTGGAATTTGGAGCAAGATGAGCAAATCTTCAAGGGGAGGAGGGAATAGGTGATGTCTTGCTGCAAAGATGTGCACAGATACGCACATACAATGTTATTCTGCAAGCATGCATGCAGGTGCGCAAAATGTT